GCTTTCTAAAGAATGCTTGGTAGAGTTTAGATGTGTATTGAGAGGGACACCTTTTGGATTAGTCAGAATTCTGTCACTATAGCAAAGTATCTGAGACTATCAATTTATAAACAGAAAATACTTATAATGGCTTGCACTTTTGGAGGTTTGAATGCATTAGCAAGTGACACTGTTGATTTTGTACCTTCGGTGAGTGCCACTTCATCATGATGAAATAATATGGCACAGCAGAACTGCTCGTCTCATAGCTGGGAAGGGGAGAGGGGAAGAGGAGAGAGGGGAGGGAAAGAAAGGAGAGGAAAGGGGGAAGAGAAGGGAATGGAACTGTATCTCACCACTCTCATGCCCCAGATGACTTAGGAAACTTCCAAAGTCCCACCTCTCAAAGGTTCCATCACCTCCCAATAGAGGTACACTGGGAACCAAGCATTTAATGTGGGAGCCTCCAAGGAACATTCAAGATCCAAACTGTTCCAACTTCAATATGCTGTGTTTCTCTAGAACACCAAACTGTTGTCATTCTCATCAGACAAAAATCAACCACTCATGTCTCCATTAGAAACTGAAGCAGTAAATGAATTGTGACAGTGTCTGTGGGGTGCAGCTATGTGGCAGAACGTTCTCTAAATGCAGCAAAGTCACACAACTCTCACAAACAAACATCTTTGTAAGGAAGCACAACTGTGTGTTTGCACAGGGCTCACACAGTGAGGAGAATTGAGACAGACTCTGCCATTCACTCTATGTGCTTGCCTTTTTAGTATTTCAATAATAGGCCTTATTCTGTGATTAATAGGAAAAGGAATTACAGTTAAAAGCACATGAAAGGATTCTCCTAAGTCTATTTAAGCAAAGAAGATGTCATAACCACACCTTTGGCCCCATTTCACCTTTTGAAGATTCAACTAAGAGAAATCACAGATGAGAAACTGTTGTTTTGTTTTTAATTTAATTAGAGTGGTCAGAATGGGTTCTGAGGTGGCACAGAACAGCTCAATTTGAAGAGGAAGTATTCATTATCTTAATGGAAGGCCAAGCTGTGATTCTGGGGGAGCCTGCTTCAGGGCAAGGCCTCAGAAAAGAGGAAATCAGAGGCACTCCAAAGGCTGCACCTGAGAAGTTATTTATATGACTCCAAGTGAGGGTTTAAGGCTCTAATTTGGAAGCCGATTTGAATGTTCCTCTTTGAACTTTCCAAGTATCCTTATTTAAACACACAATTCAATATTTATCTTCCCAGCTAAAGGCACAGTCTCCTTCCTGGTGCCCTAATAATAGCATGATATTCCCACCTCGACAGGCCTCACCCAGCTGTGTGCACTGTGCCCTGGTTATTACCCTGCTTTCTATACCCTCCACTCAAGGGAGGCTGTTGGGAGCAGAGATTGCTTTCCTGGTTTGTTTTCAAACTGTCAAGAATGACTACAAACAAATAATTGCAGAATTACATGTTGCTCTATCCATTCATTTGCTCACTTTGTTCTTGCTTTATAAATATTTAGTAGTTAGTAGGCACAACTCCACGGCTCATAAAAGAGCCATGGATAAAGCCGATCAAATCTCGGCCACGATAGAACCATACTGTGCCTTGGTGAGAAGGACCATCACTAGGTAAAATATGTCAGTTTGAAGATAGTAGGTAATGTGGAATGAAGACAAAGCCAGGTGAGAAATGCAGGGAGAGCTGGGGGTGGGGCTCAGGACGAAGTGGCTATATGTGTTTTTCAGAGAATGGTGAGGGATGAGGATACATTGTGGCACAACATGAAAGGTGGAGAGGTCAAAGTCAGGCAGCAGAGCAGATCTGCTCTTCCTGAAGCAAGAAGATCACCATAGCTAGAGTAGACCAATCAGGAGCAAGGGGAGTGATGAAGGCCAAGAAGTGATTAGAATGTACCATAAATCTTATCAACGCTGGTAAGAACTATATTTATGTGCAATAACATATCCCGGCATTCTTCAGAGATAAAACATAAACCATGTAGAAGAATGATATGTTTATTATTACATGGGGGAAGAAACATTTAAGGCAAAAGAACGATATTCTGGTTTCTGTTTTTGGAGAACAATGTCATCAGGCTTTCTTTGTATTGCTTTGGAGCCTGTCCTAGAACTCACTCTGTAGACCAGGCTGGCCTTGAACTCACAGTGATCCACCTGTCTCTGCCTCCCAAGAGCCCAAGTGCTGGAATTAAAGGCTTGTGCCACCAATACCCAGGTATCATTGGAATTTTAAAGAGAACAAATATGCACAAAAGGAAAGCTCATTAGATGGCTTCTCTGTTGCTGAGAAGAAAGAAGATGATGGCTTGGCCAAGGCTTACAGAAGAGAAAGCAGCAATAATTGCTTAACAACATGCAGCTTAGCAAGCACAGGGACTGACCAAAGCATTAGGTGAAGTCAGCATCGCAGACCGGCTGCACCTGCTCAAATAAGAAAACCAAGAGTCACTAAGCAATGGGAACATCTCATCTTCATTGTATTCTTACAGAATCACTTATGTGCAGCCCACAGAACACAGATGCATTTCCCAGTTAGAGACTACAGATTGTTCTGACAATGGGACATGGTGAAAAGAGAAGAGATGAAAGATAAAGGACAAAGCTCTGGGCTACAGAGGTAGTAAGAAGCAGAGACAAGGAAGTCAAGGAGATGGAAGTCATACTGTATTGCCACCTTTTACAGCTAACGACTAATGAATTACAAGTATTGTTTAATATTTTGGAAGGAGTGACATTTTAGTAGTAAATTTTGGAGTGTTAAAAATATTTTTTAACAATTTCACTTAAGTCCTGTAATGCTTATGGTAATCCTGTGCAGAGAGGGCTCTACTTTTCCTTACTCAGAGAGATGAAAATTCAAAGAAGTTTAATAATACTCTTTTACTCTCATGGCAATAATATAAACAAGGTTAGAAACTATAGCATAGTGACAGTAAAGGATTCCAACATGGCTTCTTTCACTAAACTTGTGTTTGAATTTTTCAAAATGAACTTAGTATAGTTTTCTCTCTCTCTCTCTCTCTCTCTCACACACACACACACACACACACACACACACACACACTACAAAATGTAGATATATATCGCCATCTAGTGGCAATTATAACCTCCATATAACATGTAAAGAAACTAAAAATTCCCTTATATACATATGGGATGAAAAGGGTGATCAGACAAATATGCTATAGACTATATCAAAGACTTGAAATGTTGACATTATCTTCAACTTAAATAGTACATTTATTCCATGTACATAATCAAAAGCTATTTCTTTTTCTATACCTACTTATTTATTTGCTTATTCTTTTATTATTATGGATTCATTTACATATTACATATGTTCTACCTGTATTATGTGTACAGAACAATATCATATAGCTAAATGTAGAAATTAATTTTTGAAACAATTCATGTGTTGATAGGTACTTAAAATATATGCATACGAAGTTTAATCACATATCTAGATCACTATAATATAATGAATTCAAAATTATTGGGAGATTAAATAAGGAATCAACTTAGGGTTAGCGAAAGACTGCTGGGCCAGGATTCAATTCAAGTGTTATACCTTTGTATCCCCTGCATGAGTGTCATTAGCTCTTTATAAAGGCATATTGAGTCTGCCTAAGTGCATTCACATATTCAACTCATTGTACTATATCCCAGTGACCACAAATTCCCAATTTTCAAATTATATGCTGCCTTCACTGTCTAGGCTTCCAGTACCTATATACCATTACAAAACAGACTGCCTAGGCATGGTGGTACACACCTATGAGGCAGGAGGGTGGAGAATTCAAAGCCAACCTAGACTATACAATAAGACTTTTTGAAAAACCTACAAAAATATCATATCCAGGCACTGTCTCCTACTTCTCACCTACACAGTACACTACTTAAAGCTAATTATAGCATAGATGTAGAGAATCCAAATTCTTTTCACATTCTCACATCAAAGTTCATTCTGGGAGTCAGCAGCAATAACTGTGGTTATGTAAGCCCCCACACTCTACCATCTACTTTGTTCAAGTCCCCATTTTTCAGAAACATTCCTCTGTGAATATGAAAGCAGGTGAAATAAGCAATGTCTGAGTCTCCACAAACATTTTTATTTCAAACCAACTTGATATTGCGGTAGAGTTAGTTTGACAATTTCATGTGCACGTATTACTTTTTTTTGTAAATAGAATTGGAACAGTTTGAATTAATTCCAATAGAGATTCTTATGCCTTAGTAATGCTGCAAAATGCTGAATACTATTGCACATTTTTAAGTAGACCTGGATACATTTACAGGTTTTAGCAAAACACAATAAAATTTAAACATCTCTCAATTGTCCTGATAAATGCTCAGAAACTGAATTTAGCAGTTTTTAATCACTTCTTATAGTAGAAAAATAGAAAGTAAAAACTAAAGTATTAGTTTAATATTTTATAGTGTCATTCCAAGAACTAAATTCAAGCATGTGTGTTTTCTCTTTATGTGTTTAATATTTAGTGTCTTAAATAATGTTATTTGAATAAGGTATATGATTAATCAATTTATGTAAGCTTTTAGTCCACTAAATATCTGAGTACACCCTGCTAAAAGAGACTTCCATAATGAGGAAATAAAATAAAACACACATTTTATTTAATGATTGATAGTTATCCCCAGAAAAACCCAAAGACTCCAAGCTGAAAGGTTTTCAGGTTCAATGTTTATTTTCATGAGGAAACAAAAAGGGTTGGAGAGAGAGTATAAAAAGGAATGGCTCCCAGTCTCATATAACTAAAATTTCCACATGCCCACATGCTCTGTTACTCATACATGTGGTTAAAGCAGTCATTTCATTTCAAAAACTGTTGTCTGGTGTAAGCCAAGGGTATGTGTGTGTCAAAACCACACATACCATCTGATGATAGAGAAAGGACATTTTCATAGAAGACTCCTTACAGTCATATTTCTTTTGTAAATTTAGTGAGTCCTATCATTTTTGTTTACTTCTTCCTCCCCAGGACTTGACTGCAGATCTGAAGGAGCAACTTTCATCTCACTTCAAAGAAGTGATGGTGGGCCTGATGTATCCCCCGCCATCTTATGATGCCCATGAACTCTGGCATGCCATGAAGGTAGTGATTCACCCAATAATACATGTGCACCAGGCACAGGCTGATCCAATAATATACCTGTGATGGGGCAAGCTCAGAATTCAACAAAGGAGAGACTTCTCCAGTATGCTTCTGCAATTTATTATTTGGGAGACAAAAGAGAACAAATTATATGTAACCATGGAAATACAGTGGTAAGAAGAGGCTTTCTGGGCAAACAAAGTCTCTAAGACAAAAGTTTTGGGCCAGCCTTTTCTTTGGTTGTAGAGAATCTGACAGACTAGGTCAGCTCCAAGCTGAGCTGCAGCAGCAATGAGTGAGAGTCTTCCATGCTTCTCACGTTTTTGTTTCTTCTGTGTGCATTCTCAAGTTGAGGAAGATGTACTTAAAATAATGAGAACCTTTAAATTTTACTTGGAAACATTTAAGTTGGGATCCAAATAAAATACTGAATCAGAGACAAAATATCAATAATGTTATTTTATAACCTTAAATTAAATATATATGGGAAGTATTGCTCAGTGCATTAAAATTTTATGTTGAAAGAAGTAAGATTTTACAGAAAATTCATGTTCATGAAATAAATTACAGGTTTGTTACAGATTTTATTTTATGGGGATATGGGAGAAAGGACTGCTTTCAAATGCTTCATTAAACTCCTATAGACTATTAAAACCGTTCCATAATGTGCTTGTCAATCACCACAATATGTGACAGACAAGAGGCAAGAGACAACAAATGGATTTTAGCCAGTATATTCACTGATCAGAATAGCAATTTTATAAAATTCAGAGACATCCCAACCAATCACATTTTTTCAAATTTTATATGTTAATCCCCCATTTCTTGTGAAACTATGTGGAAGAAAACTGTACGAATGTGGTCACATGTAACTCTTGAGAGGGAACCAGCAGGCATTCTCAACATTTCACAAAATGGTAAGGTGTCCCGGGGACTTTCTGAAAGAGATGTGCTACCTTTAAGACCACAATCACAGATTAGTACATTGTATGCTCAAAGATCCTGCAGAACACAGTCAGCTCCAGTGTTGAGACAATCTGATCACAGTTTCACAGCCAGGGAGGTGAAACACAAGTCACCAAAATATACTTGATAAATTAGGAGGCCTATGTTCTAATTTCAAACTGCTTAAGAGCCAATATTCCAGCAACACATGGAGTTTCAAATCCACTTCAGAGGAAAGTGGAAGCACTTACTGTATTTTCCCAGGTTGATTAGCAGGGCCCATACTGTTGTTCTAAGTAAAGGGACAAAATTCCTTCAGACAACATCATCTTTCCAGGGACATCAAATAGTAAACAGTCAACACAGACTTGCAAGTGAACTCACTTTCTTTCCCCTCTGCCAGTTCTAAGAATGCTTCGTTCTTTTATTGTACAGAAAGTAGTCTATTGTCCCAAATAAAAGTGTATTCATATTTCTCTCTGACTTTTAGGGTGCAGGCACTGATGAGAATTGCCTCATTGAAATATTAGCTTCAAGAACAAATGGGGAGATTTTCCAGATGAGAGAAGCCTATTGTTTACGTAAGTAAATAAATACATATATATTATACACATGTACAACCACATTTTCAAGTAACGAATGAAAGTATTCTATTTTATATATTTTAAATCCTTTTGAGGAACACCTCTATTTTATTTTTCTGTTACTGTGATAAAACACTGACCAAAAGCAAGTTGAAAGGGGTGGTTTATTTGACCTACAGATCACTGTCCAACTCTGATGGGACTTAGTTCAGTAACACAGAAAAGAACTTTGAGGAAGGAACTGAAGCAGAGATGTTGGAGGAACACTGCTTACTGGCTTACTTCCCTGTTTTGCTCAGTTACCTCGCCTGTCCAGTCCAAGCTAATCTGTGCAGAGGTGGCACCATCCACACTAGGCTGTGCTCTCCTGCCTCAATTACTAGTCAAGAAAAATTCTCCCACACACCAGTCTGAAGGAATCAATTATTTAAATGAGGGCCCCCTCTTCCCAGATATGTCAAAATGACAATATTAGTCATGACAGGTACTCTGATGTTTGAAATATGACTCATTGGAGTAGAATGGGGATTTGAAGAAGCCTTAGAATAAGTGCAAGGGAAGATAGAGAGACTGATCAACTGATACATTATCATATATTGGAGGAATAAGTTCTGGTAGCCTGCTGAATAGGACAGGGAAAAGCAAAGATAATAATGTACTTCATACCTCAGTGTAGTAGAGAGGAGTAGTGGTGGATAAAATGATAAGTGGTAGATAGTGTTACACAATGTACTCATGGTTGAAACATTATATTGTACCATATAAATACATAGAACAATTATGTATTAATCAGTATAGAAGCCAATAAATATAATACATATGATTCACTCAAAACCAATTTGTTCATTACATAAAAATGATGATTAGCACAATAAAAATGAAATAGTTCCCTAGGGAATCAAGCAATTTTTCTTTTAATGTGATTGCAACTGTCTATGAATAGATGCTTTAGCATGACAGGAAGTTCTGTGTTATTCTTTACCCAAAAGATACTTTGAATGAAAAAAAAAATAGTAACCACCACTGTTCAACAAATACATCCTTTTATTTTACATAAATGTCACTACCCCAATAAGTTACCTCAAAATTAAACCTTTTTACATTTAAAAATAACATGACAATTTTCATATTAAACAATGTATGATGCCTTGATTTCTGTCCCTTTGTGTGTTATGAATATTGAACATCCCTCACAGTCAACCATCAACCATCATGCTTCCCAAAAATATATCAAGCCTTTTCCCAAGTGAAATGAAGTGAGAACTGTGAAACATTAAAATGAGATGGAACACTTGGGAGAATGGTTATCCCAGCTACAGCATGGTATGAACAACCCTAACCTGCAAAATGGGAGACTGCAAAGTGTTCTTTTTCAATATTGGCTCAAAATTATCTTTTCAGTGAAATAGACCTAAGTTGAGGTTATAATTAGGATACATATGTATTTGACATAGTTTATGGTACACATACACACACACACAAAAAAAAAGCCCCAGCAAACTGACTAATGGCTTCCTCATCATTAACACGCAGTAGTATTAACTATGTAAAGATGTAAAGCCCATTTATATTAGGTTCTGTAATAAGTCACACTTTTAACATGGATGTTTTATTGCCCAGAATATAACAATAACCTTCAAGAGGACATTTATTCAGAGACCTCGGGACACTTCAGAGATACTCTCATGAACTTGGTTCAGGTATGATATTTTTAAATCAAAACATTTTATACTCTTTAAAGGATAGACGCATTTCATCCTCACAAAATATGACATAAACTCCAGTATATTACAGTTAACCCATACATTCTACATAACATTTGCTATTAGCCAAGTTGGAGTCACTTAATTTAAAACTTGACTTACACATGTTATAAATATGAATGTGCACCACGTCTGTCTCAAAACATTGAAAATCTACTACATTCCAAAGTATTATAAACACATACACATGCACAAATTATTATATAGGAAACTTAAAACTTTACTTTTAAAATTGTAACTTAAATTAGAACTCTACTCCAGCTTTTATTTTTACCATAAAAATATGTATACAGGTGTTTTGTCTACTTGTGTATCTGTGCACCATATGTGTATTGGTGCTAGCAGGTGCCCAGAAGAAGTCAGAAGATTTCCTGAAACTGGGGTTCTAGTGGTTGCAAGCCACTGTATGGATGCTGGGAATGGAACCCAGGTCCTCAAGAAGTATCTCAACAAACCTGTATTGCATTGTTTTAAACTAGTAGATGGGTTGGGGACATAATACATTACCTGTGCTGATACTCTGTACTTAGTGTTATGTGGTAAATGAACTGATTTCTCATCTAATGCAATAAAGCAGTATAATACAGATATTCTTAGAAGTACTTCCCAGATAAAGAATTTGCAAAGAATGTTTTAAAAATAAGGTATGGGTGTTGAGATATATACATAGTTAAACACTAAAGTACTTCCTAACCTGCATAAACACATAGGTTTGATGTCCAGCACCATTAAAATGTGTCAATGTGTGTGCATATGTTCATGTGCACTGATTGTCCCCAAAAAGCCAGTACATTGAAATGCAGAATTTATTTTTCTCCTACTGTATTTTACTGCCAGCAAATGATCTCAGTGCAGCCTGTATAAGTTCAATTTACTATACATTACCAAGAGGAACCTCACTTCTAATTAAAAGTGTATTTTGTCATTTATCTTCTTTTCTATGATGACTAAATGGTATGTAATTATTTCTATCCAATTAACATTTCTCAACAACACTCCACATATTAATTGTAATAACAGTGGTATTTTAAAGTATAGTGACCTTTCAGTTTATATCTGCTTTTGAATGTTCATGTCCTCCTACTGAGAAGACTTCAGGAACTCAAGTGAGTTCAGCACTTAAATAGTAAAAGAAAGTCCAAAACCTCTCAGGTTCAAAAGACATCTTGAAGGCATGGACTTTTCTTTGATTTCATGAAGTGAATGTTATGGTGTGAATGCTTTGATATGTATGTTACAATGTTGTGTGTGTTTTGGTGTATGTGTGTGTGTGTGTGTGTGTTCTGGAGTGTGTGTGTGTTATAATGTGTGGATGTTTAATGGTGTGTGTCTAATGTAAAGTAATAATTTATAAATCTAAAAAACATTTTCTTTATAAATCAAAAACATAGCTCAGTAGTTATCAAAACAAATCTGTTAGCCATAGAAACAAAAGACACACTAAAAGCTATAGAATTCCACACATTATAATGTGCAGAAGGAAGAAGGAGCATAAAGAAGCACACTTTATGATAAAGCAAGGATGAACATGCCAGCACACATGTTCTTTTTATTTATGTTTTATATTTTGAGATTAATATAATTATGCATCCACTTTCCCTTTTTTTTCCAAATCCTGCTATATACATACAGGATTTTGTTTTCAAAATCATGGGCTCCTCTCATTAATTTTTGAGGTGTGTGTGTGTGTGTGTGTGTGTGTATGTGAGTGTATGTTCCTAAATATACAACTAGCTTAGACTTAAGCTGGAGAAGCAGAGACAAGCACACCAGTTGGCTACCCAGATCTATATTCTTTCTGTAAATTCACCAGATGAAAATATAATATATTTCATGTATTCTCTCTTCTCTGTATAGCTCTTTTGCTGATTACTGTGCCTTCCTGGATTTTTTAAATCAAAGTTTATTTATGAGGGTAGCACATGCATACCATGGTACCAGTGTGAAAATCAGAGTATAGCTTATGAGAGTCAATAATCTCCTTCCAGCATGTGGGTCCCAAGGATCAAAATCAGGTCACTGGATTTAGCAACAACTGTCTTTACCAACTTTCACCAGTTCCCTGAATTGTTTTTAACCTGCATATTCTGTGACTGTTTCCCCTTGTCCTTTATTACTTTTGGCTTCCTGTGTGCTGCCATATAGTCTACCCTCCTGGAAAGCTCTATTTTGACAAAACTACAAAGGCCAATAGCTTATTCAAAAACTGCCCAGCCAGTATAGGTTTCTGAAGTCTGAATGTTAACAACCCTGAAAAGTTGGAAGAATGATAACCTACCTACCCGCTCATAGTTAGATTCATGCACAATTGCCCACACTCCAAACTTTTTGAGATGTATATTTTAAATGATTTATTTTTGCAGTTTTGCATCCTCATTATGTCTCTTTGTTTCATAACTGCAAAGCTCTCAAACCATAAAATGGCCCTGTTATTACTGCAAGGCCAAGTTACATTATTCTTCCCTTTCAAGAACCCTGCCATTCTCAAGTCACATAGTTTGGCAACTACAAGCACTTTACCCTTCTAACACTTAAAACAATCAGATTTTTAAACTTTCTCTTTTCTGTTTGCAAAACAACTAATTCCTTACTGAGTCTAGCTCCTGTTTCTAATACATGCTTAAAATCATAGGACAAAAGGCACTTCTCAAGGTCAAGTGAAGACCAGAACAGCTGTTTCTGATGAGAGAGCTTCTCTCCTCCACCTGCTCAGTCTTTTTATTTATACATTCATTAAGTCACTTCAACCTCCAGGATCAACAACACAGTGGAAAATTTGGAGGTTTGTTGTAATGGATATACTTTTTCCCCTCAAATATCATTGGTTAAATCAAAGTCAAATCAACCCTATTTAATATCAAGAGTGGCTGAACATGTTATCCTATTGGTTCTGTCTTAGAAAAGGTGAAAATAAGCTGGGTGATCATCTACAGTGAGCATAAATTTGAAAAAGCATCTAATTTTCCATTACTACTTCTACTGTTCATTATTACTATTGTATGTGAGATGTGGGGCACCGGCACAATGACACATATACGGAGGTCAGAGGATAACCTTGTGTAGTTATTTCCCTCTTTCCATCTTTACTTGGATTCCAAGGATTAAATTTAGGATACCAGGCTTGCAGAACAAGTGCTTTTACCCACTGAGCAATTGAGCTCTCTTGTCTACTTTCATGGCAAATGTTTCCCTTTCTGGCTTCATGTCGAATGCCATTCTCTCTCTCTCTCTCTCTCTCTCTCTCTCTCTCTCTCTCTCTCTCTCTCTCTCTCTCTCTCATACTCCCAGACACACATGTGCACATGCACATACACACAGCTGACTTTATTAATTTTGCTGGTTAGTTTGCTTTTACAAGCAAAAATGTTAACATTAAGAATTATTTTACCTTCCTAGAATGATATATATGCCAAAATAGCCCAAGTGAAAAACTGACTTTTATTAATTCATTGTTCCTTTGAAACAATGACAAGGGTGGAAATCACTATGATTGCTGGGAGGGAAATCTTGTACTTGGTCTGTCTACACAGGATTTTTCTGCCAAGAAACAACTGAAGGGGAACATGCTCCTCTTGAAAAAACTGATGCCAGCAATTAAGCTGGCCCACAACACTTCCTTCATGCTTTTATTACACTAGATTTGTGGAGGGTCTAATTATCTGTCAAGTAAAGAAGGATTAGTCTCTTGGAGATTAATTAATCAATGTGTGCAAATTACATTGTGGGTAAGTACTTTCTCAAAGAGATGGGAAGCGACCTGATTAAGTACACCAGCCTCACTCCTCCTCTTGGCTTTGAGGATTCTCTTGAGAACCCTCTCTGAAATCTCTATAGTGAGGCATCCAGGACATTGTACCCATCACCTTTCTGTAATCATCTGTACTTAGTTTTTCCTGCTCATGTATTTTCGTGCCTTTAATTTCTTTCTTTTCTATCTTTTCCCTTCCTCACATACAGATCAAGTGAAACTTGCAAGGTGATAACCTTTCTAAGCAAAATCTCAGACACATAGAACTCCAGAAAATCTCCAAGTAGTTCTCCCAATCTTTGCATCTTTGCAAGTGATGGAGGTTACTTTGCTGCAGAGTTAAGATTACACTTCAGAGATCCAGAAAGCAAACATAAATGTCCACCATCCAAAAAGCATTCTTCACCTTCCCTATGAGGAGTTGTTTGCTACTTACAATGTTTCAGACACGTTCTGACAATTGGGGATCATCATTAAACAAAGGAGACAGAGGCTTTAGGTCATATAAAATTCACAAGTAAACAAAGACTATGTGAAACCGAGTTATGAAAGCACTGAGAGTAAAAAAAGACAAATTACACCAAAGCCTGCCAAAAAATCAAATAAGATGAAAAATAGCCATTACTGTGATAAGATTGTAAATAAATAGTACAGATTTACGGAAGATACAATGCTTTATTTTCACTTTTTTGTCAATTAAATTTTTTCACAAAAAATTATAACAGATCCAAGGACATTGTTTAAAAAGAATTAGTTTGACCCATTTTGTCCTGCTGGGCCTGCTGCTCGTGGTGAGCATTTGGGCCATAGTGTGGGTCCAACAACTCCTCGGCCTCCTTGTAACTTTCTGGGTTTGCTCTGAGCACATTGAACCTGCCTATCCACATAGGACAACCTTCAGGCCTCACTCACCTGATCTTTGGACCTCATCACCTGCCCTCTGCCACAGGAGAGACATTTAAGAAGCTTGGATAATCCAGAATTAAAGACATCAAACTCCTGACCCACATACACCCACCCGGAGAGCAGGGTAGAGAAAGAAACTCCACCTGCACCCTCTGGAAGAAGCAATAGGAAGACAGCAATACAAGAAAACATCCAACAAGAGAAAGACCAATATGACACCACCAGAATCTAGGGACTCTACAACAACTAGACCTGAATACAACAAAGCAGATGAAGCAGAAGAGAACAACTTAAAAAATAACTTCATAAAACTGATAGAGGCCCTCAAAGATGATATGATAAAAATCCCTTAAAGAAATGGAAGAAAAACAAACAAAAAATTGTAAGAAATAGAAGAAAAGACCAAGCAAAAAAATTCAAAAAAATAAACAAATCTCTTATAAAGAAAATAAGGAAAGCCAAGAAAAAACAATCAAAGAGATGAAGGAAACAATTCAAACAGTTCAAGACCTGAAAACTGAAATAGAGACAATAAAGAAAACACAAACTGAGGGAATGCTGAAATTAGAAAAACTGGGTAAACAATCCAAACTACAGATGCAAGCATAACCAACAGAATACAAGAGATCAAAGACAGCATCTCAGGCACTGAAGATAAACTAGAGGAAATAGATTTATTGACCAAAGAAAACCTTAAATCCACCAAATCCTTAACACAAAACATCCAGGAAATGTGGGAGACCGTGAAAAGGACAAATCTAAGAATAGGCATGGAAGAAGAATCCCAGCTCAAAGGTGAAGAAAACATATTCATTGAAAAAACTTTCCCACTTTGAAGAGGGCCAAGCCTATGAAAGTACAAGAATACCATATACCAAATAGACTGGACCAAAAAAAAAAAAAAAAAAGAGGTCCTTGCCACATAATAATCAAAACACCTAACATACAGAATAAAGAAAGAATATTAAGAGCAGTGAAGGAAAAAGGCCAGGTAACATATAAAGGCAGACCTATCAAAACTACACCTGACTTCTCCATGGAAACTCTCAAGGCCAGAAGGTCTTGGAAATATGTTCTAAAAATACTAAGAGTCCCTGGATGCCAGCCTAGGTTACTATACCTATCAAAACTCTCAATAACTATAGATGGAGAAGACAAGATATTCAATGACAAAGCCAGATTTCACCTTCCTTCTGTTTGGAAGGTCAAATGGACTCTCCACTGTTTGCATGATAAGGAGTTTTGGATAAAACTCTCATTTGCAATGCTTATACTTTATTATCATTTAGTTGTTCCATAAATTCTGTTCTGCAAGCCAGACGCTATTATGTCTGCACCATTTGTATTGACAGTGTTAAGCTCCATCACTTCCATCTCTGATATGGGCTAGAGGAGGATGGCCATCTTGATGGAACAAAGTACCTCACAGAGAAATGAAATGCAAAAAGCAACTGAATTTTTTTCACAAAGTTCCTGCTGCAAAGAAAAGCTGAAAATGAAACTCCTTACAAAACTACACAGCAATCCCTCATTGTGACGTGGTAGCTAAATTAGTAACAGAGATTGCTAAGGAATCACCAGTATTTGGAGGATGAGGGATTTTTGTCCCAATAATCCTATATTGTTGTGTGATATTTTGATTGTATTCCAATGTTCCCAAGTATGGTATAGATATGAATACTTTGTTTTGGAATGTTTTTTCATTTATTAATACAATTTAAGGTCAATTTTGTGATATGTATATTTCTCCTCTTGTTTAGGCATTGTGTTTATATAGCTCATTTAAATATAATGTATAATTTAGTACAGATTTTAGATAGTTACCTATAATAGTAAAAACATAGCTAGGTGAGTTAGGTTTTCTAGATATATAGAGATGTATTTGAGATAGATAGGAATTCTTCAAACCTTTCAAAGACCTACAGAATATGGCATTTAAAATGGTTTAGGGTTTTTCTTGACAGAGAGACATAACTGCTCCTGGCAACACCACCTGCATCAGAAAGGAAGATGGACATTGAAGAAACAAGCTCGTTATGAAGTTTACTTCCAATATGGCAAGACTAGCCATTTGGACAAGATATTGCTCTTGTCTGGACTGTTTGACTTTATGCTGTATAAACTGGACATGCAGGACCCACAGAAAGGTGACTGCTGATTCAAGATGGATATTGCTACAGCGATCCTGCTTCTTGGAAGAGTCTGCCAGACAGTCTGCAGGACACAGTGGAAAGTGACTGACAAACTGCCAATACAAGAAGACAGTTTAAAGTTTCCTGCTTTGCTGAAGAGTCTACCAGACACACTATGGCCTATGGGCTGAAGATGGAAGATTACAAAAGAACTTCGGGTAACCAGGCAGTGAGTTGTCTCTGTCATTTCTAGAGTTTATATACTATCCTTCTGTGGTCTTTGTGGGACTTGAAGACAAAGAGTCATGGTTACAGTTTTCCTTAATATTAAAGATAAGTTACTTAGACTTTAGACACACAAAGATAGGATAGATGATGGAATATTTTCTTCAAATCTTGCTAAATGTTAATGGACTAAATAGTGTTAACTATGATACTTATTTGATAACTGTTATGTGATATATTTTGCTATGCTAAGGTTAAAACCCTTCTTTTTATTTTAGACAGAAAAGAGGACATGATGGGAGATGTCATTCTGTATATGTTTCTCATACTGGTTAATGAATAAAGCACTGTTGGCCAATAGGAAAGGAAGATAGGAGGCACTAGGAAACAATAGGGAATAGGAAGTAGTAAGGACAAGTCAGGATGGAGAGTCTGGAGAGAACAGAACCGCCATTCTTCCGCTCTCGGTAAGACCACGTGGAAATACATAGAAATGGGTTAATACTTAAGACAGAGTTAGCCGATAAGAAACAAGTAACTGGCCAACAGCATAATATCAAATACAGAGTCTTTGTGCGTTATATGGGGCTGGCGCGGAGGCGGAACAAGACTGGTGGCAGGAGGAAAAGCCATACTCCTTACACCCAAGACTGAAAATAAAGTTTATTTTTTAATCAGAAGGCAGAGCTAGCTACCACCTGACCAAAGTTAACCATAGTGATTTTAGAGGACTGAGGACAGACAGGGACAGTAAGTAGTAAAGAAGGGCTTAGAGAGGGTCTTAGCACTTTTGGATAGAAGAACAAGAGATAGGAGGTCACTGGTGGCACAATTCGTAACATCTCTGCTCACTCAAATTTTTACCCCGATATCTGACTCCTGATGTTTATTGATAAAGAATAATTAAATAAAAGCTTCACTGTGTGTTCTGTGTATTGAGACCATCTAAACGGAAACTCCTGCTTGTTTCATAGGGAACTAGGGAGGAAGGATACGCAGATCCTGCAATGGCTGCTCAGGATGCTATGGTAACTAAGCTGCCTCCTCCTTCTCCCACCCCGACTAACAGAGCATTTGATAGAGTGTGTGGGCTGCTTCTGATAAGTCTTCTTGACGTTGTGATGTTTCAGGTCCTGTGGGAAGCCTGCCAGCAGAAGACGGGGGAGCATAAAACCATGCTGCAGATGATCCTATGCAACAAGAGCTACCCACAGCTCTGGCTGGGTAACTAGAAACTGGCTCTTTTCAGCTCTTTAACCGGTTGAATGACATACAAGTAACTAGGATAAAAGAGGGTCTGTCACCCAGAAATAGAGGAAAGCCCGTTAATGCCCTGAATTATGTTTATGCATTATGCCTCATTTAATGTCCTGCTAAATAATAAAGCTCTGCCATTATTTAATTTTTTGCCAACAGTCAAATCCTATAGCTTTCAAATACCAACTCTAAAAATTTATCTATTTAGATATATTAGCTATTTCTTACCAGATACCTTATATGATATCTTGACCTATCTCCAATGAGTTTAGTGTGGTCATACAATGAGTTAAGGTGTTTGTTAAAGATGCTGTAATTTATGAGACATCCATACTACCTATTGGTCTTTGAGATGTGTTCATATTAATCTGCACTTGACTTTCTCCAAACTCTGCACCTTTCTTCACTTATTAGCAGAGAACCAAATTAAATACAATTAAATGAAACATAAAATCCTATCAGCCTTTTTAGCAACAACTTACTCTTACTATGCCTCTTTTACTTTATGCCAGTTTAAGATTAGTGCTAACAATCACAATACTTCTTCACATCTAAGTTGAATGGCTGAGAACTAAATATTTGCCAAAGATAGAACCAGTGGGGTAAGTTCTTTAAAAGGGACGTTTAATTAAACGTTATTTTATGTTAGTAAGTTAAACTGCTAATGGCAGGCTCCTATTTCCCCAAATCGGTCTTCCAAACCCTATTCCTATCCATCACTAAGAGGATTTTTTTTTAACTTTTATATTTAAGATCTAGCAGAAAGTTTCCTGTTAGTAAATAAATTTAGATTATGATGTATGGAAGTGTCTCATAGACAATGGCTTACCTTGTGCCTTCCCTCCATCTAAATCAGCATTTGAGTCAAGGAGTCCTATTGGGAGTAACCTTTGTTCCCCAGCCTGGCAAGAGCATGTACTTACAGTTCAGGATTCATGCAAGTTTTAGCATCTCACAGGATCTGTACTTGTTTCAAAGAGTAGATCCTTCATCAAAATGGGTAGTAGCACTAGGAAATGCTTCAGAAAAGACAATTACCTCTATATATAGAGAGAAGTTTGTACTTTAAACTTATGATATTTAGTAAGATAGCCCAGGTTTCTGCTTTAAGTTTATGATATTTATTAAAAAATCTCTTTTGAAGTGCATAATTTCTTGAAGTTTTCCAGGAATTTCAAAATATTTCTGGCCAAGACATGGTGGATGCCATCAATGACTGTTACGAAGGCTACTTTCAGGAGCTCCTGGTTGCAATTGGTAAGCGGTATTTTGTGTGACAAACAAGAGACCTTCCTTGCATTATGCACTCAATACTGACTGATTCTGACTCTATTAAATGTGCATAAGTAGGATTTAGGTAATTATTTGAATAATCATAAACTCCAGGAAAGTCCATCAGCTAATAGTTTGATGCAATGAATTGGCAACCTGAAAACAATTAATAAAGTGACATAATTCCTGAAAAACAGGTTCAACTTTTGTATGAGAAAAGAGAAGCCTTAAATATCCTGCCTCAGGAATCAACCTCTCACAGCTTTAAATCTGTTCAGATCATTGACATTGACCTCATTTTTAGGAACAGATAAATGCTAACAGTGTGACTATATTCTTGCCTCTATAAAGAAAGGGGCTTTCAAATTTTTGCTTTTGCTATTTGTTTACTTTTACTATCTTTAATAACTTTGCTTTTAGGGATAAATCATATTGTCAACAAAAACCTAAATTATTAATTAGTAGTCAATTCTACAGGCATGCCTCCTGAACGTTCTCCCTAAAATGCCCATGGTAGAAAAGGCCATTGCTCTTATTCATTTATACTGTTCTCGTGCCCATGGTTTACCATGTACTCTGTGGCTTGGCAGCTCACACACCAGGAAGGTTACATGAAAAGTCATTGCGAAATGTTCTTTAATAGATTCATCAGATGAGCACCAGATATGTTCTGAATAAACAATAATTGTGTGTTTTGCATTCCAAGAATGTCTTGGCACTGACCTGAGGGGTCACAGCATTTTTTTTGAGTTATCTATTTAGTAACCAAGCATCCTATGAAAATGATTTGGTGGGTTTTATGAAACCCCTAAAAATAAGTGATAAAGTGGCTTTTATCTATGAATGTTTCTGAGGAAAAAAATACATATACATTCCATCAAAGTCCCAATAGATTTACTAGGTATACCTTACATGTCAGCTAATTAGCAACAGAGATAGAATAGAACTCAAGTCTGAATTCTCAAGACAGTCCAACTTCTGCCACGAAACAGTGGTCTGAGGGAACAGAGAGTGGACGTCAGGAATACCAGGAAAGATTTATCTGGTTCATGCCATCAATCAACATTGAATGAGCACCCATTGTGTCTCTCTAATTTAGGTACTGCAGGTAAAATACCAAAGCAACAAAACAAAAAATAACAACAGAAACCCTGTCCTCTGGGAGTTTGCCTACCAGAAGTGACTCAGGATTGGTTATTACTTCTCTCTGTAATGAAGACAAAATAAAGATGAAGATATGGTCTCATGATGCAAAATAATTACTTGAACTGAAGAGAAACTTATGAATTTATTTTGAAGAAACAGTGTAGCTCCCCATTTGTTACCAATTCATGTAATGAATCTATTTACTTTTTCAAATGTGACTATTTGATGCTCTACAGTCTTGACTGGAATTAACAGGGACACCTGTGGGCTAGGCTCCAGGCTGTTTAAAGTCATGTCAAGTATAGTCAAACGATATCTAAACTTGGAGAAAAACACTTTATGTTGGTTACAGTGTCTTCTTAAAGTATTCCTGGTCTGGTTACAAATCTATAAAGGATCTGATGCCACCCAAAAAGCAACTGGTCTAAACCAGTTTTAGAGACTGTGAATAGGTGGCATTTGGGAAGATGAATGGATTACACATGTTAAGGTTTATGCTTAGCACCACATTTTTAAAAAATTATTAATGATGGTCATATGTTCAGTTAAGATCATTGTCATTTTAAAATATAATGTTCAGAGTATGTATTTTTCAAGACAGTATGGCTCATGTTACCATTATTCTAAATATTGAAATTTTACTGCAATGTGATGATTCTAGCAGACTGTAAAAGTGCTCTATTTGTTTCTCAACTTCTGAAGAATTACATCTTTCCATTCAAATATCTTCCTTGCTTTCTACCTCTCTAGTTCGCTGTGTCCAGGACAAAGCAAGCTATTTTGCTTATAAATTATACATGGCAATCCATGTAAGTACAACACATGTTTTAGAATTCGTCTAAAATTAACATATATTATTCTTCTGTAAAAGAAATGCTTTTCAAGTAGAAAGAAACAAGTTGAATACCAAAGCAAAATTTATCAAATACAGCACAGACAATACAACATATGGGACTTCAGGATATAATTCCTTCAAGTAGTTTAGAGTCTAGGCATTTACATAAATTAATAATCCAAATGTATTTGAACATATTCACAGATCACATATATGCAAGCACAGAATACATGACAGATAATGGCAAAACACTGTAAGCTCTCAACCAAAAATAGTTATTTTTTTGAAGTTTGAAAACAGAATATTGATACTTGTTATTTTTAATGTGCAAGTAATATATATCAAAAATACTATAAAATACAATTAAATAACAAAACTCTAGATCTATTGATCTATATTTTGTAATTAAATGATAATGTTATCCATGCCTTGTGGTCATGTTCAATAGCACACTGTAATTGTTCATGAACTGGTATGATATTCAATTGCACAACCTGTAGCAGTCCATTTTAAGGATACAAATGCTTAGGCTCATCACATAATGCCCACTTTCTCCTTCGAGTTCTGAAATTGTCTTAAAGAAGAAAAAGACTGGACTAATGAAATGGCTCAGTGCCTACACATGAGATGCCTCTTGCCTACAAGCCTCACAACCTGAGTTCAATCCCTGGCACCTACATGATTGAAGGAAGAACTCCAACAAATGGTCCTCTGACCTTCACAGGTGCATACACAGATACACACACACACACGCCCCATAGGTACACACACATGCACACACATGTATGCACACGAGCACATACACAACACACATACACATATACAAACAACTCATGCACATACAGCGTACATGCACACACACATGTACACAAATCAACACACACATGCACACACAAATACATAGATGCACACACATAAATATAATAAAAGTTTTAAGGAATTTTTATTAGGTTATTTTGAATATATCATAATCTTGAAATAAAGTAAATTTCACTAAATACAATAATACAATAGTGTAATCATTTGAGCAAAATATGCCGTTTTAGTGATCAGAATGTGTTATTCTAAAAGCAATTTATATAATTTATATATATATTATTTGTAAGTAAAGTATCAAAGACATTTTACAGGCCAACTTCTTGATATTTGCTGCAATGTTGGGGAAGCATGCTAATAATCAGGAACATTTTTATTATGTGTCTTATAGATAGGTGTTTCCTTAACTTACACATAAGAATTTACACAGCCTCGGAACCCAATAGAAAAAAATCACTGTTCATAGCTCTTTGCTTTGTGCACAATAGCATCTTCGGCAATGTTGTAATTCCTCCCCAATGATCCATGATTGCAACAATAGACTAAAGTGTCCCCTGTGAATTACCCTGGGCAAATAATCACAGTTATTCTGTTTCCAACTATACTCTGATTCAGGGAAGTTCATTCTGAGAGCATATAAATTAAATAATAACTCTGTGTATTGTAGGAATAAAAAAATGTTCTTATATTGACAAGTAGTTATCAGTTAGAATAGATTACATACAAGTAATCCAAAAGTTCATATATGAAGAGCTGAAATACCAAATAATTGTTGACAAGCTATTTTTACCCCCTTAAGCATTATCATAAAGAAACTGCAAATTATCTATATTTTAAAAATTTAAAAACTTGGTCAGGTGGTTTGTTTTAATTACCTCAAACCATAAAATCTGTTAGTAGATTGACACTCAAAACGTTCTAAAATAAAAGTTAGGTTAAGCTGACTGGCCACCAGATGTCACCATTACTCCATTTCAAAGACATTTGAACCATCCCTGCTAGTAATGCTTCAGACATACCAGCTGTGGTGTTTGAGGCATGTGAGCCTACTAGCAAATTGCTACTGAAAAGGACATCAGTCTATTTGGACAGCCCTTTATAGTACTGTTTTCTCTACCCACCTTTCCCATTTTAGGACTTTGGCTTCCATAACAAAACTGTCATTAGGATTCTAATAGCCAGAAGTGAAATCGACCTGATGACCATAAGGAAACGTTACAAGGAGAGATTTGGAAAATCCCTGTTTCATGATATCAAAGTAAGCCTTCTCTTCATGATTTACTTTAACACGCATTTTATTCTTTCTGGACCATAAATAAAAGTGTTAACTTAAGTAACTTGCTGTTGGGATCTCAAAAGGTACTTGGCTTTGAGAGTCCAGACAGCATTCGATGCATTAGCAAATAATCTGGGAAATCATTGCACCCTGAAAATAAAACCTATTGTTCTTTGCTTTTAAGAAAACACTCTGATGTACTCATAGAAAATTGTCACTCCCTATGACTGTACTTTGACCTAGATGTGGCAATTCCCCTATGATTACAGTGCAACCTTCACACAAGAACTACTGAAGTGGAGGCAAGAGATCAAGACGTGTACATCAACCCTCAACTAAAAAAACCCTTCTCCCAAATAAAACAATAACACCAAAAAAAAAAAGCATTAGGGAAACTATTCTTTGCTGGGAGAATGCTTTAACTGTGGGAAGGATTCCTAGCTCACTGCAGCATGCCTCATAGCATCATAGAAGGCAAGAAAGCCAGCAGAATACCATCAGCTGCTAATCGGGAGAAAGTTATTACTGAATGTGTGAAACTATACATGGCCAAATACCTCAGTAAGCAGAGAATGAGAAATAATCATTCAAAACTAAGCAAGCCAATGTCTTACTCTGATCCCTCAAAATTCTAGTTTTTATAAAACTTGACAAAAATTGAAATATATCGGCCATCTATGTAATTTGAGGACTCAGTATGAAAGTACAATATTTAGTATTTCCTCAAAAAAAAAAAACAAAGGTTTCCAGGTTGGAGAGAATAGAGCATCAGAACACACACAGTACCTGAGACTATGCCTTAATTTATAATTCATACATTCACATTGTTTTCAAAAGAAATGTTCAGTCACAAGAAAGGGCATTTTAGATTCTTGAATTATTCAAGATGTAATTCAACAGCTCAGACATTAAATCCAGAATGTTCCCTAGGCCTTTGTAGGAGTCAAATGGTTCTAAGAAATTGACATATCAGTTAAAATCACTCATGTTTTTTAATCTTTGATAAGATGTTCATTGTGTCTGTCTTGAAAAACCAGAGCTATTAGTGATGATTAACATGTACCCATTGAGAAGTAGTCAGAATTCAGTTTCTAAGTGAATGAGCAAACTCACATACACTACTTGTCTTTATTCTTAGCTGCCTCAAAGACAAGTTGGAATAATACTTGTACTTTTAAATTGCGGTCTTAATTACACAGCACTGTGTAAAAGATCATTAAAATGGTAAATGATTTTATGAAAATGGATTCTATATTGACATTCATTCAGCCATCTGTTTTGGAATATTTAGAAATGACAGAAGAACACAAAAAGAACAAAGTTGCCCTAATTCTCTATGGTACATACCCAGTAATCAGGTTGTTTTTGTAGGCTCTGCTGTGCCTGGAAAGTTTGTGCTTTCCCAGATCCCTACATTGAAAGGCTAATTTCACAGAGTTGATTTTAGGGGCTTGTCTTCAGGAGTTAAGTCATGAAAGTGAAGCCCATGACTTGTTTTTTCCTTACCAGAAAAAAAAATCCTCTAGGACACTAGTTTGTCCCTTTTCTTTCCTTTTGTCATGTCAGACTGGAGTCTAAGAAGAAGCAAAGCTCTTAGTGATGAAAAAAAAAAATGTGTTGTCACCTAGATTTTCCATCCTGCCTAACATATAAATAAATTCATGATATTTTGAGCCACCCCATTTATGGGAGCTGTAGGAAACTAAGATAGCCATTGTTGATTTTTTTCAAAAGATCAAAATAATAACATTTTGCTGTAAAAAAAAAATGATTTTAGCCAGGTCATCCTCTTGTATAAAGTATACTGTGAAGTAGAGAAACTATCTTACATGATTATCCACAGCTTTTCTACTTTATATTAATATATGATATGTTTCATTGATATGTGTAGTATTTCAATGATATGTAACATTAGGGTGCATATGTGCTTAGCATAAATGTCTGTGCTCATTCATAATTGATAGTAATTTTAAGAAGCAGTGCTTGTTATAGGATGCATGACATAAACATGATATTTTCAGGATCTTTTGCAACACATTGGCAATGTCCAAACTACATTGATTACTTTATTAATATTAGGGTACCAATACCTAAAGCTGAAAAAGATTCATTTTATCATTAGTTACTCTGCTCACAAGGACACATTAAAGTTCCATCAGCTTTATATAAAACATTGTATTTTGAATAAGTTTCACTTTGACAATTGCTCAGAAAATCTTGAAATCATTTTGTGAAGACAACTGTCCACAAACTTTTCATACTGGAATTAGAAGAATTACAGATGATTTTTTTGAAATGCAAGGAGATGATATTTCAAGTACCTGCATTATTTTTCTTTTCAGAATTTTGCTTCAGGACACTATGAGAAAGCACTTCTTGCCATCTGTGCCGGTGATGTGGAAGACTACTGAAATCACAAAAGAAGGGGAGTCTTTAAAGTCTGGCAACCCTCTTTACAGACACCTCAGATACAGAAAGTTGGATCTGTACTGTTATTGACCTCATGCCAAAACTACAGACTCATATTCCTCTTTTTTCTCTAAAATTGTTCTGAGACAAAAAAAATTGACTGTTGCAAATATGTATCCTGGATTTGAACTCTTTCCTCAATTAGTGAAGAATTAAATTGTGGTGGCATAAGAAAAACATTGCATTGGAGTAGATTTTATTTAAGTATGAACTGTCAGTTCCTACAAGGAGAATGCCTACTCATGACTGTCTCTTTTATAGATTATCAGTCTGAAATCTATAAAAAAGAAGTGTGTGCCCACCCTCATGGGAACTTCCTGAACTCTTGAACAAATACAATAAAGCTGATGTGAGGCTAGACTAGCCTTTAAACTAAAATAGTCAAAAGTAAAGTATGCCAAGGGATACTTACTGGATTATTTAGCTGTACAAGAGATTTGGATGGAAAAGTAATGTCTCATATGCATCTGTGTGTTTGGCTTGATTGTGTGAGAATATCATTTCAATAAAGATAGTTATAATGCATTTTATAAAGTTCTTTAATTTTTGGAGAAAGGCTGAGCACATATGTACCATGGCACATGTGCTCACCTTGGCTCTCTCTCAAACTCATGGCCTCTTTTACTTTGACTGTTAGGGTGTGTGTGTGTGTGTGTGTGTGTGTGTGTGTGTGTGTGTGTGTGTGTGCTCACCTTGACATATGAATACAATCTGATCCGTCCATATAATGGTCCTTGAAAATATAGAGATGAAGACTAACCTCTTTGCACTGAGTTGGAGGGCCCTGTCCAAAGAAAGCCTATTTCTGCTGTTCTCTATATGAACTAGTTGCCCAGAGTCATTGTCTAGGGCTTTGACCTCACAAGATTTTCCCCTTTCACATTAGCATGTTCATTAGTGTCATCCTTGTTAGATATTTTTAAGCAGGCATATTGATGGGAATTCACAAGCACAGCTTCTGACATTTCTAGGAGAAACAATTTCAGAGCAAATTTCCTGACGCTCTGACTCTTACTATCTTTCTCCCTATCTTCTGTAATCATCTCACAGCTTTAGATACAGAGATATGTTGTAAATTTATCAGTTGGGGCTGTGTACCACATGATCACATGTTACCTGCATTTTGATAGCTTGCAGTTTTCTGTAATAGTCTCTGTTGTAAACAGACATTTCTTTGGCGAGGGTGAGGCCCACACTCATATATAAAGATTCAAAGGTCAAAACAACAGATGACCTTTGTCTGTTTAGGCCTAGGTTATCTCACTCAATATGATCTTTTTAACCTGAAAATTTCATAATTTCAATTTTTGTGAAGCTGAAAATGCATACAGATTTTTTTGTTCATACATCACCTGGAAGTCGCTTAGGTTGTTTCCATTCCTTAGCTACTATAAATAGTACAGTAATGAACATGGCTAAGCCATCGAGTTCTTTGGGCATATACTGAGAAGTAGCAAAATTAGGTCATATGGAAGATTTATTTTTAGCCTCTGGAGTTCCTCATACTGATTTCTAGGGTGGTTGGACCAGTTTGCAATCAACTTAACCTTCCTCTTCACTAATCCATTGTGTTGTTCAGCTGTGCAGAAGCATTTTAGGTTTATGACGTTCTACCTGTTGATTGTTGGCCTCAGTTCCTGGGTAAATGGGGTTCTATTCAGAAAGTCCTTTCTTACATCCATATCCCATATGGTACTGCATATGGATTTTTTTCTAGGAGGTTTTATACTTATACATAGATCGATTTTTCTGTGTATATACAGCAGACATACAGAGAAAGGGATACTCCTCCATTTGCAATAACCTCAAAAAACAAATGTCTAGTAGTAAACCTAACCTAATAGGTGAAAGACTCCTGCAATAAACACTGTAAATTTCTAAAGGAATATGGAGAGAACATTAGAAAAGATATTCCATACTTATTGGTTGGCAGATTTAATATTATAGATATAAGTATTCTACAAAAAGCCTTTAGCAGATCCAATGCAATTTCAGTGGCAAGCTGAATCTCATTCTTCGTAAAAATGCAAAAACTATCCTAAAATTCACATGAAACCACAATGAACTCCAAATACCTAAAACATCCCTTAACAAAAAGAATACTGTTGGAGGTACTAACATTTTAGACTTCAAGACATATTATAGAGCCATAGTAATAAAAGCAAATATGGTGCAGACACAGAAACAGACATGAATGCCAGTGAAATAAAATGAAATATCCAAGCTTGAATACACATAACTATAACCATCTGATATTCAGCAAAGCTTTCCAAAACATACACTGAAGGGAAGATAGCATCTTCAACAAATGGTTCTGGGGAAACTGGATGTCCACATGCAGAAGAATGAAATTAGACCTGTATCTATCACCTCCCATGAAACATAATTTCAACTGGATAAAAGACTCAAATGTGAAACCTGAAACTAGAAGAAAAGACAGGCAGTACTCTCTACATAATATGGGTGTAAGAAAGGACTTTCTGAATAGGACACCATTTACCTAGGAATTCAGGACAACAGTCAGCAAGTGAGATTCATAAAACTAAAAAGCTCATTGATTTTTATCTTCATGCTTTAAAATCAGCAGCAAAGACTTTGAAGTTGTTTTTCTTTTTCTGAATGAATATGTGAGTGTGTGTGTATGATTGTGTGTGTGTGTGTGTGTGTGTGTGTGTGTTTGTGAAGGACAGAATGAGAAAATGAGGGAGAAATTGTGTGTGAGAGACTGTGTGTGAGAGAATGAGTGTGTGTAAGTGACAGAGTGAGTGTGTGCAGGAGTGTGAGTGAATGTGTATAGGTAAGAGAGTGTATATATGTTGCATGTATGTAAGCATGCCAGTGCACACAGATGTCAGAGCAAATTTTTAGGATATCTGTCTATCATTCTCCATCTCATTGCTTTGAGACAAGGTCTCTCAGTGTAATGGTAACTTACTGGTTGGTAAATACTCTTTAGAAGTTAATATAAAGCAAAAAAAAGTCATCCAACACAGGAAAAAAAGGGATTCTTTTCTAACTCTATCCTTGAGGAAGAATAGGAAACAAGTTCTAAAACAAGAAAAAGTTAGAGTTCAATAAGGAAAAGTAAAACAATTATTTTTTAAAATACTAGTAAAAGTGTAGTGTTAACATAATAGAATTTCCCCCTTTTTAAATTAAAATTTTAAAGTGAAAGACTTCATCACAGCATCTTTAGAAATACATACGTACAGAACACATTACTTTATCTTCACCAATGCCTACTCTCTCTTGATTTGAGAGCTGACTGAACCCCTTAAGGTATGGGCCAGAGTGCAGATCCAAAAACCCCCTACCTCTGGGGAACTTCCTGGATCTGCTCTGAACCCACTGGACCCACCTATCCATAAGTAACCACCCTGAATCCTAGTCTCCCTGATCTTTGACCCCCACTGCCAGGCCTCTGCCAGAGGAGAGACCTCCTAGAGACTTTGGCCCATCCAGAGTTACAGACATCGAACTCCTGACCAATCTATACCAACCAGGAGAGTAGGATAGAGAGAGAGACAAACTCCACCTGCACCTACTGGAAGAAGCCATGGAAGGACAGCAATACAAGAAAACACCTAACAAGAGAAAGACAAGAATGAAATCACCAGAATCTAGGGACTCTATAACAACTATACCTGAACACACCAAAGCAGATGAAGCAGAAGAGAACAACTTAAAAATAACTTCATAGAAGTCCTCAAAGCTGATATGAGAAAATGCCTTAAAGAAATAGAAGAAAAAAAATGAACAAAAAATTGAAAAAATGAACAAATCTGTTAAAGAAAGTAAGGAAAGCCAAGAAAAAACAATTAAACAGATGAAGGAAACAATTAATAGTTTAAGATCTGAAAACTGAAATAGAGACAATAAAAACAAAACAAACCGAGGGAATGCTGGAAAGAGAAAAACTGGACAAACAATCAGGAACTACAGAAGCAAGCATAACCAACAGAATTTAAGAGATCAAAAGAGATAAATTCATCTACCACAGAAAATCTTTAACACAAAACATCCAGGAAATGAGGGAAACCTTGAAAAGGCCAAAACAAAGAATAATAGGCATGGAAAAAGGTAAAGAAGTCCAGCTCAAAGGTGCAGAAAACTTATTCAACAAAATCATTGTAGAAAACTTTTCCAATTTGAAGAAGGACATGCCTATAAAAGTATACCTAACACCAAATAGACTGGACGAAAGAAAAAAGATCTCTCACCACATAATAATCAAACACCTAACATACAGAATAAAGAAAGAATATTAAGAGCAGTGAAGGAAAAATGCCAGGTAACATATAAAGGCAGACCTATCAAAATTACACCTGATTTCTCCATGGAAACTCTCAAGGCCAGAAGGTCCTGGATAGATGTTCTACAAATACTATTAGTCCACAGATGCCAGGCCAGGCTACTATACCCAGCAAAACTCTCAATAACTGTAGATGGAGAAAACAAGATATTTAATGGCAATGCCACATTTTCACAATATGTATCTACAAATCCAGCCCTACAGATAGTTTTGGAAGGAAAACTCCAACCCAAGGAAGTTAACTATGCTCACAAAGACATAGGCAACAGATAATCACACTTCATCAGAACCCAAAAGATAAAGCAGAGCAATATACCCACAAAAGCACTGCCAACAACAAATCTAAAACAAACAAGAATTAATGATCAATGGTCCTTACTTTCCCTCAACATCAATGGTCTTAACTCACCTATAAAAAGACACTGGCTAGGATGTATCCCTGGTACACAAAAGGACTTTGCAAACATATCCCCCATGGAGGGATAACTGCCTTATTCTAGAGACAGGAGAGAAGCCCTATTCCCTTCTTCACAGGACCTGTCAGATCTACATGACCCCAACTGGATGGCATTCCCCTACATATGGTATTGTGGTGGGAGGTTGGGAGGGGAGGGTGTTTAGAGTGCATGG